ATGGAGCCAAAGGGTCAACAACCCCTTCGTCCTCTTCAAAGCGAACATCAGCAGCGATTTCCAGACACGCTTCCAAGCTTGGACCGGCCGGGCTCGACGCGTTGCGACATATATTGGTTGCGTTTACGTTTTCGCAATGAGCTTTTAATACATTTACGTCATGTTTCAGAGAAAATAATTTCTAAATTATTGTTAATTGCTATACATTATAAATTAATAATTAGTAATTTTTTTATACCCAGGCCTTGCCTTGGAGGGCGAGTTGATCAGTGATCATCTGATCAGTGATCATCTGTTGTGGACAGTGTTAGTGTTGCCAACTGATGGGATGTGAAAATACCTAGATTTGAAAAAAAATATCCCTAGAATTCCCTAGAATTAATTTTTTTCAAATTCATTTTAGAATTATTATTACAGCCTAATAATAATTGTAATATGTATTGTAATTCTTGTAATTTACAAGAAAAAAAATCATATTTTTAAAACTAATCGCACACTAATCCTCAAGTTTTTAAAAAACAACACAAAATTTCCAAAAGTAATAAAACATTGTTATGACGTCACTGGTAGCGATAATAGGTCTGTTTTTGCAGAAATCACAAACCAGTCAGAGTGAATTGCATTGATTGAAACTAGTTTTCAGACTGTTTCTGACTGTTTTCAACCAATGAAATTCGCTCTCTCTGGTTTGTGATTTCTGCAGAAACAGACCTAGTGACGACAGACTGTTTCCTGATTCAGATTCGACGCGATTGTTGCAGGAATCCCCACACACATCACGTTACACAAAAGGCAAAGAGCACTTTACAACATACAAAAATGATACTGTTGTACACTTGGCCAAACATAAAACTGGTACAGGCAATGTATATCTATTTTTTAAATTTGCCTAGTGTGAGCCAGGCTTAACAACAAGAAGTCTCTTCTGAAAAACTTAAGCCTAGTCTCCATGGACGCGAAATCGCGAATTTTTTTTTGCGGATATTTTCCGATTGGTTGGAATTTGACATTAAACATTTGATTTTTTTATGGCGGGAAAAATTCGCGAATTTTTTAACTTCTTGCGGCGTCGCAAAAAAGTTAACTATTTTTTAACTTTCCGCGAAATTTCGCCAAAAAAAAATGAGGTTATGTGGTGTTACTTTCAGTTTAGTTTTGTTTATGTTTTTGTCGGTATGTGCTCTGTTCTGTGCTCTGTCCTCTGTGAGTCGTTGATGTGTTTTGTACTTGTAGATACCTAATAAAGAATGGATACTGCCAAAGAATTGAATATTGTAGACCCGAAAACAGACATAAATTACAGCTTGCTGGTTGATGAGGAAGATTATAATAGGGCCTTAAATGTAATTAAGACAACACCAAGACACATATCTTTTTTTGTTTTTTAGTAATCACTTTCATGGTTTTCAAAGATTAGTGTTTGAAATTCAAAGCATTTAAATCGAATTCAAATTGATTACAAACAACAACACATAACCTTAACCTGTTAAATAAAACGCGAATTTTGCGCTTATGGAGACATGGGAATAATTTGCTCGGAAATAGCCACCAAAAAATGACATTTAAAAAATTCGCTTTCCGCGATTTCGCGTCTATGGAGACTAGGCTTTAGGTCAGACAGTTTTTGTCAACGACAAAGCTGAACAGAAGTACATGCAATACGTTTTTATGTTATGATTGGTTCAAATATGACAATGACTTGACACTTTTCGTCATTTGTTGAGGTGATGAAAAAAGGTCGATTTACACAATACAACACAATAGGAAAAGCGTACTAGTTTTATGATTGGCCAAGGCCCAAGTGTATGTTGTATGAAATTAGTCAGACGAACCAATAATGGTGACTTTCGATTTTTTGAAGAATTTATAATAATATTATTTTATATGTTTATTTTTTCAGAATTAATCAAATTGTGTAAGAAAAATTAAAAATATCAGAAAACCCCTAGAATTTCCCTATATCCCTAGACAATTTTTTTTTCCATATTTATCCCTAGAACTAGGGACAATTCCCTAGTGTTGGCATCACTGGTTGTGGAACGCTGCTAGAACCAGCGTTGCCACCTCACGAAAATTAAATGTAATAGACTGAGGGCGGGTATTATAAAACTACTTTGAAAGTTAACTTAAAGTTAACTTCTGAAAATACATGTAATTCAAAAATTAACTGCAAGTTAACTGTCAAAGCAGTTTTATAATATCCGCCCTGAAGCCAAAATTGTAATAGATTTGACTTTTTGGTAATAGATTCTCTCATTTGTCACTTCTGTCAGTTATGCATGACAGATGACCAAAATATTAGGCAATTTTTCGCGAGGAATGCGAGGCTAATCAAGCATAAGCCGCTTTCCAGCTGACGCTTTTAAGCACACAATCGAGCTTTTGCGCGCGCAAATGCTTCAAGCGCGTATTCGTGTTCCAGCCGTAATGCGCTTCGAGAGCTGCTAACTTTTGCGTTTCAATCACAGAACACTGTGCTGCACCGTGCTTGAAGCACACAGCTGGAAAGTGGCTATAGTCTGATTATTCTGGGTTATGTGATGTGTCAATTGTGTCATAGTCCCCTAACTTCGTCACCATCAAATTTACATAGTGATGACGTTACTCGCAGACCTCGATGGAATGCTTGCTATTCAGGCTGTGCTAGTATTTCGTGGATTTTAAATGTTGAAAAGGTGAATTTGGGTCTGTCCTCACAGAAGAAATTAAGTGTTTCTGATCCTCGAGTATCCCAAAATTTAATGGTAGGGGTGTTAGGGGAGTATGACAAAATGGACACATCACATAATCCAGCAAAAGATTATGCTTGATTATCCTCGCAAAAAATTGCCTATTGAATAGGCGCTTTTTTCTCATCAATCTCTCCACCATTATACGCCGTATTTATTTTTATGCTTTGTTTTTATGCTTAATTCACTCGCCTGTAATATTTTTTAATTGCTATTCACCAAAACATGATTTTCCCGAAAAAGCAATAGATTTTTTTCTTTGGTAATAGCGTAATAATAGAAATTACTTGATTGTAATAGATCTATTACGATTGTAATAGGGGTGGCAACACTGGCTAGAACTGACAATAATGTGATGCGCGCGACTCCGAAGCCCTGTGACCGGGTACGATAGTTGTATTTCTTTCACATGTAGGAGGAGCTCCGGAACAGCTCCGGGGCTTCACGCGCTTATTCCTTTCGAAAAGTGTTTGTTCCACCACGCATCTGTTTCCTGCAAATCAGGGGCGAATAAACACCGGAGCGAGTAGCTCGAGTGTTTCGAACTCTTGAAAGGAATACAACTAATGTCTTGTAGCCCAAAGGCCGCCTTCACTAGATACAAACGTTGGTAAACGCTTTGCGATTGTTCTACTGAATGCTGCGTTGAATTTGTGTTGAAATCGAACATGTTTTGCAATCGGTCACCATTTTTGCAAGCATAATTTGAAGAGTTCTTGTTCATCTCCTTTGAATTTTGTGTGCTCGAGTCTTGCCCAAATTTAAAGAGTGTTTATAATTTTCAACACGTAGCCTTGCGTTCGGTATTTTGCTCAAAGAGCAGAGCGTGCTCAGCGGAGCCGTAATCACGTGACCAGCGAGAGCACAGAGCAGTTAAACGCTGTATCAGAAAGCCCGAAATTCTAATAAACGAACATAAATGAGCCTGCACCGAGTACACTTTTTAAATAAACTAACGGTAAATCCAAGCTCGGAGAACTCAGATCAAAATACCGAACGCACGGTTTGTGTGGTGACTGACATGATACTCAGAGGGTGACGTTCTATCATGAAAAGTTGAATCTCTGAGTTGCGTTTAGAAATAGCACTCTGGTTGTGAGAGTGAGGCCGGCTTCTCATGAGCGTAAACTTGACATAACTGGCGCAAATGCTGAATACGTGAATTTCGGCGCAACATTCACATGGAGTGGAGAATTTACGCCGCCGCGTATGTCAAAATTACATTTTTTTCCTAAATTTTGAAATATTTCTCTGAATTTTGATTGTACAAATTTGTATTTGTTTTTGCTTTATTTCCAAATAGTTACAAATATGGACAGTACATTACAAAAATCAAGAAAACGAAACGGTTGCAACCTTAACCTCTAAAAACGCTGAATATTTACGCGAAAAGTTGAACTTTGCTCAACTTTTGGCGTATCTGCGGCAGAGTGTCAGCGTATCCAATATGGCGGGAATTTGGCCAATCAGAATTCTGCATTCAGGTACGCTGTCACGCTATAAATGTCAAATTACGCTCATGAGAAGCCGCCCTGACCCACTCGGAACGTTACGCTGGAATCGTTCAGAAATCGAGAGCTGACGTGCCCAGTGTGCGCCCAAATTACCCCATTCAGGGACTGGGTTGAAAAACGCCCCGCGGTTTTTACCGAGTTTGACGTTGACATTTAGCGCAACACCCCAATTACTTTTAGAAAAGGCGCACCTAGAGTGCACTCCAATTGATGTCGTCAGAACACTCTGACAAACAACTACTCTACCTTCACACTCCATTTCTAAACGCACTCCAGCAGAACCAAGAGTTTACCCAACGTCTTTTGGTTTTTGTACACTCTTTACAACCCGTTTTGGTTCTGATGAACGCAGGCAAAGAAAAAAATCTTTGCGGATTCGACTTTTTTCTGCCAACGAGTTTTTTTAAAAATTCCGGCACACCTAATCCAAAATTTCCGCATCAAACAGCTGTACGTCCTAAAGCCTAGTACCCTAGTACTCATAACCGCGAAGTGCTAATTTTTACTTCGCGGATTTTTTTCTATTGGTCATTTACCTGTCAAATTCAAATAAAATCGACCAACAGAAAAAAATCCGCAAAATAAAAATTGGCAATTCGCGCGTCGCGGTGAGTACTAGGCTTAACGTCCTTGACATGCCACGTGTTCCATTGTTAGTGACGTCATAGAAACTACTGCATAAAAGAAAAAGGATGCAAATAGCGCAATACGTACTTGGGTTGAGCCGAGCGAGAAAAAGAGATAAAATAATTGTAGAAGGCACAGTAAAAAAAAAAAATTAGAGCGGAAAAAGTTTCTGCGAGTGCCAGTTGCAGTTGTGCCGTGCCGGCCCCTAAAAGAAAGGATATAAATAACCTACAAAGCCCAAAAAAGTTTAGAACTCGGAAATTGTTTTAAATTTTGTTTATTACCCTAAAGTTCTATTTATTCAATGGTCAATAGTGGAATGGGAGATAGGGATTGGCGACCTTTCGTATACGGGGGCCTCGCAAGTTGTGTTGCCGAATTTGGTAAGGAAATCTCAACTACCACTTTACAGATCTTCATTACAATTTCACTTGACTTTCTTTAACCTGTACCAAAACCTTCAGACAACTTTACATTAGTAATGCACCTAACCAGAGTAGATTAACCATTCCATCTTCCTTCTTTAAATTCCTAGTTTCGAGGCTGCCTCCAATTTCCATTGAAAATTTAATTAACAGTTTGCTGTTATACCTAAATAAATCCAATCCATAAGTGAAAACTCAAGAACTGAGCTCGACATTTAACCCTCAATTTCCTATCATAGACCCTTTTCACATTAAATTTGGGGGACAGTGAGGGACAATTGAATTTTAATATTCCAGACTGGTGAATATTTGTTATTAAATATGATTTTGTTAAGTCAACTAAGACGACAAAAAAACAAAAAGAAATTGAAAGTCTTATCAAATTATTACAAACAAAACATGCATCATTCATGAGAACAATGTTAACATGGCCTGAAATTATCTTATCAAAGTTTAAGTGTATCTACAAACGCCTCCTTAAAAGCTATAGGTATACTTATGTTAATTATGGAAATTCCGAGAAATATTCAACTAAAGTATTGAAAAAATATAATTTTGAAATTTTGCAATGCCTACTGAAATAAGGTTATCATCAACTTGTTATTTTGATAACCTTTAAAATTTTGTGTAATTAGTAACTCTGCTGGGGAGGAAAATATATGTTGAGAAATAATAATTTACACATAAACTAAGATAGGAATGTTTGTGTTTTAAATGTGTAGATGATTGCTTATGACTGGGTTTCGGTTTATGATGTAGAAGTGTATTATAGTATACAGCCCGATTTGCATAGCATGTGCATTAGAATTTTTCCAGTTTGTATGTGAATTAGTACAGGTAGCATCTAATCCACCTGTAAGCTAATGCACAGTGCAGTTACAGGTGAAACAATAAACAATTCGCTTCTTCAGAGCAGGACCCGAGGTCACCTGCTAATTTTCCTTGCACAAGCATATGCATAATTACCACAACCTCAGAGGGAATATTTTATACTATCGTTGCACTTTTTGGCAGTGAGCCTACTTACAGTTTATAAAGGGGAAAGGGAATGATGATAATGATAGTTTATTGCTGTTATTACTTACTACAAAGTGTTTAGACACATAAACATAAAATTTGAGAATAATTTTATCCCAAAGAATACAATAATTCTAGGTACATTCCTAACAAACATATTCAAGGAAAGTTTTTTTATACTAGGTACTACATCGGGTGACTTGAGACGATTTTGACTTTCAGCAAGCGATATTGTCGAAACTATTTAACTTAGCGATGACTTAAACACGTCAAAAGTTGAGTCTTAACCTGTAGAATCGGTTTTTTAAGTTGAGTTTTATGTGAATAACGAGTTACCTAGGGGTTTTCATTTTTTTTTTACTGTCTCATGTCAGACGCTAGGTTGGGTTACTTGAGACAACCCTCGAGACAACCATATGTTTCAAGCTTTTGCTCATGTTTCAAACCAAAACGATCACTTGAGACAAAATAAACGTTTATAAAAAGTGGCTATTGACTCCTAGCGCTAGCAGGTTTTATATTGTCACACCAACAAGTGCTTGAAATCTGAAAATGTCTCTTCAAAAAAAGGCGGACCTAATCTTTTCCAGACAAGTTATTTTTATTGAATTTTTCATCACCCCGTCCATCTTTACGACTTTACTAAACGTTTTAAGTCGTTTCCCATAATTAGAAAGCCCCTACGGCAAGAAACTCCTAAATTTCCCACAAAGTCTCTGCTCCTATTTCATTGTGAAGACTATTTGACCACCGGGATTATTTACTTTTCATTGAATGGTGCACCTGGAAATGCCATATTTTTTTGATAATAATCGTTAGGATTCACTCGTTCTTCAATCGCTCGTTTCAACATTTCGCAATCATAATCAGCATAGGGCCTGCAGCCAAGGAGCCAAGTTTTCTTTTGTATTTTCCCATAATGAGTGAAAACACAATAAGAACAATTGAAACAGGCACATAATAACACTGAATAGTTTTGGGGTTTCTTTATATTCCTACATACACCTTTAATAGGTACTTACAAGAGTGCTTACTGATACCCTAATATCCACTATGGCTAACTTAAAAAGAAACACAAAAGATAGACTTATACTAAGTTACACATATAATATAAAATATAAAAAAATATAAAATAACAATCACAGAGATTTTAAAAAAAAAACTAGTAAAACTTTGGTATTAAAAAAAAGATCTTATGGCAAAGGTGAACAGCTTAATACATTATCTTGATATATCTTCTTTTCAATATTTCTAAGCACAATTTTAGGAACATGGAATGCAATTCTATTAATTAAATAACTGTGCCTGTACTTGACACTATTTAAAATATGACAAACAAAGATAACACACTGCATACTTCTCCTGTTACTCAATTTTTTAATATTAAATTCACTTGGCATTATAAGAACCATAAGAGATCATATAAGGATATGCACTATGCGTCCTAATAAATAAATATCTTAAAAATCTTTTTTGGACTTTTTCAATCATATCACAGACCACAGCTAACTTCTGCCTGCGGTGCCCATATTACACAAGCATACTCTAAATGCGGTCTGACCAGCGCATTGTATAGTCTAATGACAGTTTTTAATTGGAAATACTAGTTTCTAATAATAAAGCCCAGAGCCTTGAATGCCTTACTCACAATAATCTGATAGTGAGTGTTAACTTAAGCGTTGATTGCAGATGTACTCCAAGGTCTTTACATTCAAACTTTCTGTCAAGACTTAAATTATTTATGTTATTTTTGAAATTTATTTGATTTATTCTTCTGGTAAAAGTTATAACGTGACATTTACTTACATTTAGAAACATTTTGTTTTTGCTAAACCACTTTGAAACACAATTTAGGTCTTCTTGTAAAGCTACACAGTCTTCAGTACTATTAATTATTTTAAACATTTTGAAGTCATCTGCAAACAACAGACTATCAGAGAAATTAATTCAATCTGGCAAATCGTTTATAAAAATGGCAAACAAAAGAGGTCCCAGGTTACTTCCCTGAGGAACACTTGATGAAACCATATAACTCCTTGAGAGATTTTTCCAACCTTCACTTGTTGGTTTCTATATAATAGGTAAGAGAACATAAGTTTACAGGCACTCTCAGAGAAACCAAATGCATTCAATTTGTTGACCAGAAGTCCATGATCCACCTTATCGAACGCCTTCGCGCAGTCCTTCATTATCACATTCAATTGGTTTTTATTAAGAATTGCTTGAGCAGCTGTATCTGTTAAAACAGTGAGGTTGGTTACTGTGGACCTGTCAGACGAAAAGAAATAAAGACTATTTATTTATTAAATTTTTACTTTATTTCCCGGGGATTAAATTTTACTTTATTTCCCAGGGATTAAAAGTACCCTTTTATTCCCTGTTTTATTTAATCCCCGGCAAATAAAGTAAAGTGCATAAGATAGTGTATACACCTCAGGACTAAAGTGTTTTTTAATCCCTCGACAAATTATAGCCCTCCCTTTGGTCGGGCTATAAACTTTTTGTCTCGGGATTAAAAGTACCACTTTAGTCCCTAGGTGTATAATGTACTATTAAATGTTTCAAGTATATCATTGTAAAGTATGTTATCAAATATTTTTGCAATAGAATTTAATACACTTATGGGTCTATAATTTTTAACAGAATTTTTATCCCCCTTCCCTTTATAAATTGGAGTGATACTAGCACACTTTAATTACTCAGGAAACTGATTAGATTTAATAGCCATGTTAAAAATAATTTCCAGGGGCACAGACATAATATCTGCACAATAAAGAGAACATAGCATCATTTGTGCTCTTTGAATCCTGAAAACCAAACTGATCCACACTCAAAAAACCATGTACATTTATGTAGCTGACCATACGACTCTTCACAAGTTTTTCAACAATCAGACATAATATCTGCACAACCCTTGTATATATAAGCTGGTATGCAATCATTACCAGTAGCTTTCTTTGGTTTAAGTTTCCCAATACTAGTCATAATTTTTTCTTTATTCACAAGTGAAAAACAAAAATCTCCACCCGAGTAATTAGGGCTTGAAGAATATTGAAATACTGAGCCAAAGTACTGCGCAAAGGCGTCTGCCACCGTTTGAGAATCACTAAATGCTTTGCCCTCGTAACTTACTTCGGTTGGAATACCATTACAACTTTTTTTAGAATTTATAAAAGACCAGAATGAATTAGGGTATGTATTAATGTTGTTTTCTATATGATGGGTATATAATTTAAATTCGTGTCTTGTTTGGCTTTTGATAATGCCTCTCAAATTTTTATACTCGGCTATAACCAATGAACTGGCCTTACCACTCCGTACTGTACCCTTTTGTACAATCTATTTCTGTGTTGAATTTTTTTAATAAGTTCAATACTAAAAAAAAGGTGGATATTTTTCACTCATCGTTCGGGTACTTGGTTGCCTCCTGGGGCTCTGGTAGAAAAAATAGCATTGCTTCCCAAAATATGTGCAAAATATTCGCAAAAACACATGTTCCGGTTTGTGATGGGGATAAGCGCCCGCGGAATTTGCAGGCCTTGCTCCTGATGCGTTCGACTTAACCATTTTACTTTTTTCACTCTGTGATCACGTGACTATGGAACTGCTCTTCATCCGCTCCAACTCCGTTTTGCCAAGCCGAACTCACCTTATGTAACTTGCTTTCAATATACGTTCCTAGTTCAACACGGTCACTCAGGCTCATTGCCTTGGATTCCTCATTAAGAAATACATTAATTCAGTCTTTGTTGCATGCAGGTCAAGTTGATCACTAGAGAAACCTCCCATTAATCTGAGCCCGTCAAAACATATTCTATTTGTTCCTTTGAGGCTGGCCTCTCAATCACTGTAGTGTAATTAGCAAAAATGACAAAGGGGAGGCATCCAAGAACTGATCCTTGTGACGCATCATATTGAATTTTACCAAAATGAGTAGATATTTGTCCATAATAAACTATTGAGGAATTTTGTTGAATCTTTTCTGTCAATGATGAGGATAATTCTAGCAACTTTAGATGTCATTACTGTTTTTGATTTTATGATCCATAATTTGACCAAATAACTTATGATAGGTACAGCTATTTTAAACTTTAGTTCATGTAGTTTACTCCTTGTGGATGGTAGTATCGAGGGTAGTATATTCAACATAATGCAATGCTGATATTTAAGATGAAGTTATGATTCTAATAAAAGAAACGAATAGCGAAATTATAGTGTCATTCTTTCATTTATTTGTTTATTTCATACAGATTTAAATTTTTCAAATTAAAATAGTAGCTTCACCTAATAATTGGATGACTGGCAAAGCTAATAGTGCAGGATAATTAGACATTGACCCGGACATTTAAAATAAGCTAAATATTGGTGAAAATGTTGAGCATAGTGTTCTGATTGATATCCCCAAATTCCCAAAAAATCCATTTTGCGGAAAATCGGCCATTTCGAAACAATCACCGCAATCTTGGATTTGTTGAGTTTTAAGCATTGCGACTAAACCGATCATCAGATTATATTCGTTTTTGCGCCAAATTACTTCATTCAGGCTGCCAAAATACTGAAATTAAGGAATATAGAACAATTTTGGTGCTCGAGAAAGAATAATAATTAATTAGTAGTTAAGTTCGCAGGTTTAGGACAAATAAAACTCCAGTTTTCTCTTTTAAAAAACTGTTGACAACGTTTCGACTTTAACTTAAGTCATTATCAAGGCTGAAACAACAGAGACAGCATACAGGAAAATGTTGAAGAACAGTCGACAATAACAAACAAATGGGCTAACATAGCAGTCGCAGACAACCACAGACGACTAGCAAAACACACAAGTGCCAGAGGAAAAAATCAAACAGAGAACATACCTACAACAGATAAACAGACACATAAGCAAGCAAAGATCAAAAACAAAAGACAAAAAGAAAGGAGACACAGAAAAAAACAGTACGCGCGGTTCAATTACTATGCTTAAAATTTGAATATTGCAATATGGGGCCAGTTTTTCCCAGATAGCGGATTTTCCCCAAGATAGATTTTTTGGGAATTTTCAGATTCTAATAAAGACATTATCCTTAACATTTTTACCAATTTTCAGCTTGTTATTTCAAATGTCCGGGTTCCGCCAAATTTTTGTCTTATTTGCCTACACTGAATGTCATGTATTATGATCAAATATTAAATAAATTAAATTTAAATACATTTTAAGGTACATTTCCAATTGACACAACAAAAACCCGATTACAAATCCAGGGACAAAAGTTGGACAAAAATCACTCGAAACTAAAATACAATGGAATGGTGGATTGTTTTTTCAAAATAATCAAACAAGAAGGATTCTCATCTTTGTACTCGGGGTAAGAAGAGCAATTTTCATTCACATTCCCATTATCTGCCATTAAAGGGTCACATAAATTTTTTTGAAAAAAAGTTTTTCTTTCTAGAAAATTTTACCCGAATACACATAAATCAGTACATTAATAACGTAAGTTGATATCCATTTTAACTATAACCACAAACCTTTTGAACAAATTTCTAGTATTTGGCCAGCAGTATTACGACAAGCGACTTATGGTACCATCAAGTTCGGCACTTACTATTCGCTGAAAAGTATTATTTTAGAACACAATAAGGGCCAGGAAAGCATAGGCGTCAATATTGTATGCGCAGTAATTGCAGGATCTTTTTCAAGCGCAATCGCCAATCCTACCGATGTACTTAAAGTTCGCATGCAGGTGCAAGGAGCCGCAGGCAGCGTTGGATTGGTAGAATGTTTTAAGGATGTCTATACTCACGAAGGAATCTCGGGTTTGTGGAGAGTACGTGCTTTGATTTGTTTTAATGCTGCCAAGTTAAAATTAATGATATTTTAGGGTGTAAATCCTACAGCCCAAAGGGCGGCAGTAATTGCGGCAGTTGAATTGCCAGTATATGACTTTTGTAAGAGTCATCTTATGAATGTTCTTGGAGATAAGGCTTCCAATCATTTTTTGTAAGTCCAAATTTGTTGTATGTTCTTTATGCCTATTCGCTTGTGTATTTTGTACTATGCAATTTTTTATTGTTTTTTTTCTATGTCAAGTATTGAGTTTTAAATAGTTTTTACATAGCAAAGTTATTTTTGTAAGTAAACAGAAAACTATGTTTTCAAAATTCAATTTGTTTATATAAGGTCTGTTTCTGCAGAAATCACAGACCAGTCAGAGTGAATTTCATTGGTTGAAACTAATTTTCTGACTGTTTTCAACCAATGAAATTCGCTCTGACTAGTTTGTGATTTCTGCAGAAACAGACCTATACTAAATTAGTAGAGAAGGTATACAGTTTTTTTAAATAAAATATTACTAAAAGTTTTGTCTGCAATCGAACTCCATAATTTTTGCTAAACAAAATCTGTATCATTTATTGATCAAAGTCAAAAAAAATCAAAGTCAAAAATAGCTTTATTGATATAAGAATTATAACATCTCTTTATCAAAGCAAACTTAAAAATAAAAGTTGTAGCAAATACAGGCTTAAAATTAAAAAAAAAAAAAATCATCAAATAAAATGAAACAAGACTGTGCTGCTAAAATACTCTTATAAAATAAACTACATAGATTAAAATAACACATTAAAAGACATTAAAGGTAACATACTTAAATACTAGACATGTATAAAGTAATAAGTCAGTGAGTAAAATATAAGACAAACTAAACTGTAAACGAAAAGACACTAAGCAAAAGTATCACTGAAAAATTCAGCAACCGAATAGTAAGCCCTCCCAACCAGTATCCTCTTTACCTTCCCCCTAAATTGCTCTTTGTTGCATATCTCACGGACATTAGAAGGCAGGTGGTTAAAAAGCTTTTTACTATTATAGATAACAGATTTTTTTACTAGCGTTGTTAAGGGGATAGGTAGAGGAGCAATGTGCGATGACCGAGTTGCATAAGCCCCAGCAGTCAGGATCTCATTGTGGAACTTGTCATGCGTAAGGCAGACTGATTCCAATATAAATATACATGCCAGTGTTAATATTCCGAGCGACAAAAAATAAGGTCTGCAGGATTCTCGGATATTTAATTTACATAAGAACCTAATAGCTCGCTTCTGCAGAATAAAAACTGAGTTAAACAGGTGATCAGAACACGATCCCCAAAAACAGACTCCATACCGTAAATGAGAGTCAATCAGCGCAAAATATACATTTCTTGCCATAGACATGTCTACCTCTCGAGAAACTGTCCTCAATGCAAAGCACCCACCCGAAAGTTTTTTATTCAACTGAAAAACGTGGCTTTCAAATTTCAATTTATCGTCAATATGTAGGCCCAAAAATTTATTGATATGTGAACTTTGCACAACCTCGGTATTTAGAAAAACATCTCCTATGTGACACTTGAAAGAAACAATGTTTGTTTTCGAAATGTTGAGGGTTAAAAAATTTGAATTGAACCATTCTTTGATTCTTAAAATATCAATATTCATCTTAAGCTCCAAGTTCTTTGTATTCCTATCACGCCATAAAATCGTCGTATCATCAGCAAACATCGTGAATTCACCCGATATATTTATCCTTGAGAGATCGTTAATGTACAACAAAAATAACAAAGGGCCCAGTACCGAGCCCTGAGGAACACCGGATGTGATAGCTTGAAACTCGGATTCCTGACCATTAAAGCGTACCGATTGATGGCGATCAGACAAGTAAGACGATATCCAGTCCAGTGACGTGCCTCTAAAACCATACATTTCAAGCTTGCGGAGCAATACTCTGTGATTCACGCAATCAAACGCTTTGGTGAGGTCACAGAATATCGCTGCCGCAACCTCTCCATCATTCAATCCCACATACACACTTCTCAATAAAGAGAACATAGCATCATTTGTGCTCTTTGAATCCTGAAAACCAAACTGATCCACACTCAAAAAACCATGTACATTTATGTAGCTGACCATACGACTCTTCACAAGTTTTTCAACAATCTTTGACAAGGTTGGAAGTAATGAAATTGGCCTAAAGTTTGAGGCTGACTCGCTGTCTCCTCCTTTATACAATGGAATAACTTTGGCCAACTTCAAAGAAGAAGGAAAAGTTCCCGTAACAAAGGAATTGTTAATTGCTTCCGCAAGGGTTTGCAGCGCGTGATCTGGAAGTCTTATAAATATTTTCAATGAAATGTCATCCCAACCAGAAGAGTTCGAATTTTTTATCTTGGTAAATACAGTTCGAAGTTCTTGAATATCGGTCGGATAAAAATAAAATGAATTGGGAATGAACAAATCCCCAAGAAAACTAAGAGCATCAACTGCCGGACTGATACTGGAAGATAGATTATCTGCTACTGAGCAATAAAATAAATTTAATTGTTCAGGAGTAAGACCTGAGTTAGTAGATGTACCCTTTTTGCCAATCAACTCTTTAACAATGTCCCAACTTTCTTTTTGCCTATTATTAGAGTGTGCTATTCGATTAGAATAGTACTTTTGTTTGGCAAATTTAATTAATTTTCTATATACTTGACGATATTCAGTAAAATATGACATGAAAAATGTATTATCAAGAAAATGTTTTCGAAGCATATGCAAGGAACGCATATTTCGGGCAGATACTCTAAGTCCTTTAGTGAACCATGGCTCTCTGTTGTTCTTCTTCAAGGTTTTAAGAGGAAAAGCAATGTTAAAGTTACAAGACAATAAGGAGTGAAACTTTGCCAGAGGATCAGGCGAAAACAAGACACCACCCCAGTCGCTGTCAGAACACAGTTGCGAAAACTTACCATAATTCTGTCTTGTGTAGAGCCTACCTCGCTTCCTCATTGGTTTAGTGTTCGCTTTCGAAATCTTAAAGTTACATAATACTGCTTCATGGTCCGATAGGCCCGCGTTCAGTACAGAACAGAAGACAAATTCACTTATTCTATTTGAACATACATAGTCAATTACAGTTGAGGAAAATCGAGTAACTCGAGTAGGCTCCTCCACATGCATAGTTAAGCCAAAAGAGTCAAACAAATTTGATACTGATTGCGAACGATTTTGTGTTTTATCTGTGAAATCTATATTAAAATCACCAGCCAGAATAATCCACGCATGTAAAGGAAAACCTGAAAGAAGCAATTCCAACCTAGTAATGAAAATAGTGACATCCCCACTGGGCGGCCTGTACAAACAAATAACAAAAACATTTAATTTGGGCACATTAATTATAGAAAATTCAAACTCCCTCTCAACAATCATATGGTTAAAATTTTTAAAATCGACAAAAGAACAAACACTCAACAATGAACTGCGAACCATTATCAGGGTACCCCCATGAATAGAGCTGGATCTTGAGTATTTTGATAGCATACTATAGTCAGGTATGGATACTGGCTCATCAGTCACAAGCCAATGTTCAGTTAAGAGCAGCATATCTGGGAAACTTATACTATCTAAAAACATGTATAATTCATCTATCTTATTTCTAATTGACTGTACATTCATCAACATAACTGAAAAATACTCGTCAATCTTATTCAGTATAATTTTTGAGTCGATGACATTATTTACAGTAAAAAAGAAGTCGAATTAGCAGTACTGACCCTAACATCATCATTACCAGCATTAGCGGTAACTTTGCTAGAAACAACGTTATCAATGCGCTGAGCTATCCTAAATTTAGCAACATTCTTCAGCACTAAGGCTTTATTAAAAAAGAAGAAAGTTGAATTTAAAAAAGAGTTAATGTTTATAAAGGTGCAACATTTTTGAAGCCTTTCATGTAGTGAAATGTTAACATTGTCAATAAACTTGTTTAGCACTGACCTATTACCCCAAAGTGGCACTGATAAAATGATCACATTAGTACGTTGTCCTAGTTCTAACAAAAGTTCAAAAACACTCTCATGCACGTACCCGCCATTGACTGCGTTTTGTAGACCTCCAGAAATTATGATGAAATCCTTTTTTGAATAATCAATTGACAGCGCACTTATGTTTTGTATAGTATCTTCTAATTTTGCATTATGCTTAGCAAAAGTGAGGATATTGTAGTTCTGGTGTTGAAATACCTTTAAGTGCTTGTAGAGGTCTGCAACTGAGCTATCACCCAAAATAAGAACCTGATGTTGTATAGATTCACATCTCTGGAGAGGATCTTCCAGGTCACTATTCACATGGCTATGTTTAAAAGATTCAATATTTTTCAAGTGTTTCACCTCTTCCATATACATGTTCCGCTCATTTTCCAAGACCTCTATGGTTGTTCTAAGTTCCGATGCAGTCTCCTTCATCTCCCTCAGTTCATTTTGTTGCAGTCTCAGCCAATCCTTGTGCTCTGTCAATTTACTTTCGCTGACAACATTTAAAGATTTTAGATCGTTTATTTCTTTAACATACATATCTTGAGCGTCGGACAAAGAAGTGATCTTATATTCGAAAGCTGATTTGGTGTTATTTAGAGCCATAATCTCATTTTCAAGTGTCTTAATTTTTGATATGTGGGTATTTAACTCTTCACTGAGGCTCTGATTGGTTTTGATTACATCAGCCAGCTCTAAGTTGACACGCTTTAACCCCAATTTTTGAAAATCTATCGTAGATAAATAGTTTTTTTCCGCCTCAAATACCTCATCATCCAGTGTTTGAGTGCGACTCTTGAGGCGTTTAATATGACTATCCTTCATTTCATTTTCCCTAGTCAGTCTATCAATTTCCTGCTTTAAGCTTGATTTTAAATCCACAATGTCTGTTTCAAGATTGCCGATATATTTCTCTTTTTGAACTAATTTATCACTGAGCTGATCATAGTGCTGAGATAGGTTATTAATCTCCGGAAAACAGGCTTTGCACTCCATACAAAAGAAAAGGAGAGATTTGTTCTGCAATAAAAGCGCATCCGTTTCAGTGGTGGACAGGTTTCCACAGTCTTTGCATATAAAGCGTTTGCATCCATCACAGTTACATCCAAAGAGTTCACCCTCCTTGGAGTTAGGACGTCTTTTAAAAATGCAGCTGGTAAGACAAACC